TACTTTTTTATGTTGTGTAATTTTCTTTTTCTTCGAATTGATATAATAAAACTGGTATCGAAAAAAGTATCGTTCAGGAACCGGTATCGAAGTGAAGGTATCGGTATTGGTACCGGAACCGAAAATTTTTGAACAATACCCAGCCCTAGGTCCCAATGAAATTTCCCACTGGGAACCTACTAGGACTAAGTTGCTAAGTGGTTAGCAAGATGCTTCCCACAAACCGGCTACAATCAAACTTGCTTGCGAACCTTCCGCCACAACAATCGACCATCACATTCACTTTATTCACTCGTGTAAAATTGGGCACCACTCGGGAGAATTCGGAAATGCAACGATTGGAACAACCGCTTCTCTACGGCTTTAAATCTGTGAATAAACGGGTATGAGGAAGCAGATGCTTTGAGGGACCAACATTGTTTAAGGAAAGGATTCTGATTTCAACCGTTGCGTATATTAGCTGCCACATATGAATCAAGATGCTATGACTGAAAACATTTCATTGACAGATGACCGTTGATATATGATTGGCTGAATTTAGGTTTTCAGGCTGACGTAGAACTAACTGACCTGCAGAAGATAACGAAAAAACACTGATTTTAAGACAGGATAAAAACAGAAATTTTTAAAATTTTTGGAACAACATCGTCTGATACTACATTTATATACATGTTTAAGCCAGAATGATTTGACATTTAAATATGATTTCCCTACGACTTTAAAAAGCAGATCAACTTAATTATGAAAATGTATTTTAAAGTGCAGAAAAGTTTGCACACAAACGCAACCTTCAGTAAAGGTTCTTTATGAGAACCTTTTATTTAGCTTTAAATTTACATCAAAAACCACATAAATGCTTTCGGGTTTAAAAAGGCCGATTTTTATATGAGGCGGAAATGTTGTTAAATCTTCATTACAGTTTTAACGGACCAAAAAAAAAAAAAAAGGTAAAAAACAAAACAATCGCAATGAAGCTTTAAACATACCGCTGGATTTGAAGAGCATCCCCGTTAGCGTGCCGGCAGCCACGGTGTTTATATCATCTTCTGCCCCTCGGGCTTTCTCTATCGCCACGCCAAAAGCACTATACAACAGGGCTGCAACGGAAAAAAATTAGTTTAAAGACTAAAAAAATTTGTTTAATGTTTCAGGGTTTGTTTCTTTGTAATCTTACCGACAGAACCGAGAGAGTTGGCCCACGAAGCCCCCTGCCTGGTCACCATGTTCAAGATTCTAGTAAAGGAAAAATAAAAACCTTCAGGCTCTTCTTCTAAAGGCTGCATGAACAGAAACATGCAAAGTTGATCATGGAGGCAAAGCTGATGCACCAACAAGGCAGAAACCATTAAACCGTTAATTGATAAGGAGCCATTTTCTTCAAAACAAGATTATTTTTTCTTCAATAAAGATTATCTTTTTTTAACATGAAGGTCTAAATATTTATTAAGAATATGCTAATTTAAATAATAGTCCATCATTACATTTTAATGTATTTTTCAAGCTGTATTAAATACTGACTGAATAAACAAAAAAATATTTTTACACATCACTACTTCTATTAGAGATAAAACACAAACCGATTAGATTACTGAATAAAAAACAAGAAACATAAAATAAGAAGAATATTTGTAATGAACAGAGATGAACTATCGTTAACAGACAGGGTATGTCCCTCTGACATCCCGTCAGGCTGCTCTGGTTCAATGAAGCGGGAACTAACTGTGATCTAGCTCTTCCAGTTCTACCATGAGGCGCCTGTTCTTATAAAATCCACCATTAAATCCAGTGAAGCTGTGTTAATGGAAATATTACTTTGAAGGGTGGGATTTGTTTGGATGAAATAGACCATGCTTACTGTACGTTACGAGGTTTGGACCACGGCATGTCTCTGGTCTCCTTCAAGCCCATCCTCAGACCGTTGAAAGCTCCCAGTGCAGCTCCTGTGTTAGTAAATCCACAGATACACTGAAACACAATATTTCCAACATAACCAGTATTGCTTCTACTAAACACACGAAATAATAACTATCTCTATAGTTCTGCTGCTATAGGCTTAGACTGCTG